GCACAACATACCTAAGTATCATTGCTGATCAAGTTCATCCTATCATGTTGATAGCATATCCCAATGGAGGTGACTTCTTCCAAGAAGACAATGCTCCATGCCACGGTGCTCGTATTGTGCACATGAGGGAGACATTACCTTGCTTAGGTGGCCCCCACAATCACCAGATCTCAATCCAATTGAGCATTTGTGGGATGAAGTTAAAAGAGTCATCAGGCAGCTGGTTCCACAACCATCAAATCTCACAGAACTGGACAGTGCTATTCATCAGGCATGGGGTCAGATTCCTCGCATCACCTTTCAACATCTCGTGGAGTCAATGCCAAGAAGAATCGCCGCAGCATTGAAGGCAAAAGGTGGCCCAACGAAGTACTGATGGGGTGGTCATAGTAATCTGGCCATTTAGTGTATATGTGGCTGTTTGAAGTTATCCCATAGTTTATTGATACTCTATTTTTCTGTCTTTGTGTTTCATTGTAGTTAGTTTCTATTATTATGTCTTCCATTTCTCTAATCTTGTTTTTATGCAATGTCAGATCCCATGTATTTTTAAATAACTGTTGTTAATTACATCCCATGTATTTTTCATGTCAGACATTGTTCATTTCTGGTGCCCTTTAATAATCCTATCAGAGACATGAGCTCTGACCATTTCCCAGACCACTCCTCTTCCAGCAATGCTACTTCCTCCCTCCTTCTTCTTTCTCTGACAATCTCACTTTGTGTCTCACCTTTATTTTGGTATGTGGTTAAGTTACTTGGAGACAGTTTGATCTGTTTGGTTCTTGCCTATTTGTGCCATTAAACCCAGCCTTTTTAACCCCATACCTGTACTGTAGGTTAGGGAATTAGAGGGAAGGAAACAGAAACTGAGTAGTTGAGCTATTTCCATATTGAAATGAGTAAATCTTAAAAAAAAAAAAAGATTTATCTGTTATAGTTCAACTAGGGGCCCAGTGCACAAATTCGTGCACTGTGAGTGGGACTGTGGGCCCTGAGTCTGCGGTAGGCACAGGGGAGGGCCTTGGCCCATACTCTGTGCTCCCGCCTGACCTTTCATATCGCAGCCCAGTCTCCTGTCTGCTGGCAGCCCTGCTCCCGCCGCCGCCATTCCCAGGTGCTGATGGGGCTGGCCCTGCTCTCACCTGCTGATGGCGCAGAGCGTGGAGTGATTGGGGCTGGTGCCAGTAGCAGGTGCAAATGATGGCTGCTGCCCCGATCACCCCGCTCAGGAGCAGGGGGAGGTGGAGAAGCCCTCGGGGGCAGTCAGGGCCAGCAGCCACTGCTAGCAACCGCTGATGGCAGCAGGTGCAAGCAGGACCGGCGCTGGCAGGAGGTGCGAGTTCCGGGCGATACTGTGGCATGTGGGAGCAAAGAATTTTCAGTAACCATCAGGGGCTCGCCCTGATGACAGCGACTGGCGCCCTGCCTTGGTCCAGTGCCCCCACTCACCTCCACCATCCCACTGCTGCCGACGCCGACCAGGTTCCCCTCTCTGCTGCCTGCTGCTGATGCCCGTCATGTTCTGCGTACATCCCCTGGTGGTCAGCACACCTCATAGCGACTGGTTGTTTGGTTGTTTTGCTGTTCGGGCTATTTGCAGATTAGCCTTTCCTTATATAGGATTAGAATCTTTTTATATCCTTCATGTCTCTACTTAATATGCTTATTCTTTAGTTTCTTGTACATGTGGAATACATGTAACTGCTTTATTGTCCCTGTCTTCTAACATCTGTGTTATTTCTGGGTTAGTTTTGATTGACTGATTTTTCTCCTCATTTTGAGTTGTATTTTTCTGCATGGTAATTTTTGATTTGATGCCAGGTAGTGTGAATTTTACCTTTTTAGGTACTAAATAGTTTTGTATTTCTTTAAATGTTCTTGAGCTTTATTTTGGGATATGGTTAAGTTACTTGGAGACAGTTTGATCTGTTTGGTTCTTGCCTTTGTATTTGTTAGGTGGCACCAGAGTTACATGTAATCTAGGGTGAATTTTATCTGATCTAGTGAGGAAGGTCATTCTCACTGCTCATAGGATGCTCTCCAAATTATTATGTTTTACACTCTGGCTGTTGGGACCTGGAATGATTCTGCGGCTCTGTGTGAGCTCTGGACAGTGTTTCCTGTAATCCTTATGGGAGAGTTATTTCCTTGGCATAGTTTCCTCCCTTAGCTACATAATCAAGGGGGAGTCTTTTGCATTCTCCTGAGGTTTTTCTTTGTGCAGCTTTCTTCTCTCTAGTACTCTATCCTTGTCTCTTCTCTAGGATTCTGATTACCTTGATGTCTCTGTGCTCTGAACTTAGTCCCTTTAACTCACAGCGATTCATGAGTTCTGCTTGGCTCTTTCTCCCTTGGCTGAGGCCTGAAAATTTTCTCAATTTCGTAACGTGGGTTCACTGTTCTTCATTGCCTGGTATCCAGTGGCTTGTGTACTGTGTATTAAATATACTTTGTTCAGTTTTTAGTTGTTTTAGGCAGGAAGATAAAGCTGTTCCTGTTTCTCTGTCTCGACTGGAAGCAGAGACTTGCGACTAGTGATTTTTATGTCTTTATTTAACAAAATTAAAATGTATAACTGAGTTTCAAGAATAGAACAAAAATTCTCCTGTGCCCTCCTTCCAGTCTATTCATTAATTGTTAACATTTTGCCAAATTTGCTCTGTGTTTCCCTTTCTCAATGTAATTGTGTAAGTGTGTGTGTGTGTGTGTGTGTGTGTATAAATTTGAATGATTTGCAAGTTAGTTGAACCATCATGCTGACACCTACTTTGACAAGCAAACATCAGGTCTTTTTAAGGTAAAGTGCCAGATTTATTATAGTACTTACGTATTTCTTAAATCTGTGCAAAGTTTTTATTAATTTCTCGTCTTTTTTCCATTATGTCCCTGCTGAGTTTTTTGAGTATTGTATCTGTAACACCGTTTTCCCGTACACTCTGTGATTTTTACTGTGTAATTTTGCACAGCCTAGTGATTATTAGGGATACAAATCTTTCATTACAGCAAAACTTGTACATTAGAATTACTTGGGAAACTTTGAAATACTGATATCTAGACCACTTCCAAAACTTATTAAATCAGAATCTCTGGTTGTGGGGTTCAAGAAATGGTATTTTTTAAAAGCTCCCAGTTGATTCTTATTGCAGACAGAGTTGTGAACCACTGGACTAAGGAAACTAGAAAATGCAGACACACAGGCTCTTCTGAATGGGAAGTACCTCAGGTTTCCTTTGCACCTTATAATTTAGTCTTTGAAAACCTCAGTTTTAGGGAAACTTAATAACGACTTGTCTTCTGGATTTCTCTATCTGGTAAGAAGTCAGAGATTCCAAAACCTTCTTCTTATGTAATACGCAAACTCTGCATTAAAACTTTTGTTTCAGAGACCCATTTATTTTGAGTTATTGTGTGGTATAGAAAGATACATTCTTCATGGCAATTTTATGTTATATTTTAAAAGTATTTAAGCAAGAAGAAA